ATAAAGTTGTTATAAGATTATAAGAAAGRAAACTACACTAGATTCTATACCTTTTGTCCTAAGCTCAGCAGCAAGTGGCAGCATGACATCAAAGAAATACTTGAGTTCTGTGTCCTTGATGTTGTCTTTCATGACAGGCAGAAGCCAAGCTCTTGGGAATTCACAATTTTCACTGTGACAGAAAAGAAAAGCAGTTATACACTTAGAACGGATTTCGTATGAGTGGGACACCGTTAGYGCACGGTTACCGCACAGTTACCGCACCTGGCCTTCACAATTTTGGTAAASCAATGGGGCACTAGAATTTGGTTACAGTACGATTACGGTCACAGTACAGTACCGTCCGTTTCCCACTCATACGAAATCCGCTCTATATGACTGTAGGTACAATGAAATATTACTTTGTTCACCATTTCTTAACCAACATCAACAAGGAATACATGTAAGTTATGATTAGTTACAGTACAACTACACTTAGTGACAAGGGCAAATTTTTAAAGGAAGTTCATGGCTGATTGTTGCAAATAAAATACTTGCACTAAATGTACATTGTACATGTTGGGTATCAACATCAGTCTTGACAGAACATCAAGGGTAAAGCAATACATGTACATCAAACAACTTACTTTGGTTTGTCGAGATTCAGAGGAACACACTCCAGCACATTTCTAAATCACAAGTTTGAATTTGTCAGTTTGAAATTAATTGTCAGTAATTTTCACAATTGTACACTGCACTAAAACTAAATTRAAAGCAAATCACATTACCTTGGTCCCATCTTCTGAATGGCCATTCCTACAGCTCTTTTCAGTTCCTTGGTGTATTGAAATTTGTATGTGCCATGTAGGTCACACAGCGAAACAAGCATCTACGATGATGATAAATTTAATCACTATATTATTGTTAATATTATCTTAATTGTTTTTGCAAAATGATTGAGTAAAGCATCATAATCAGAATCAATTCAAATCTACATGGTTTTTAATTGCACTTTCAAGAAAGTCAAAAGACAAGATCTTTGTTGAATGCTAAGTGTCAGACAATGTACAGTAATTGTAAGGTCACAATGTACAGTAATTGTAAGGTCACAATGTACAGTAATTGTAAGGTCACAATGTACAGTAGTTGTCAGGTCACAATGATGGCGAGAGAAGCGTGCAATTGAATCATACATACCTTTTTCAGAAGTTTTGAACAGTCTTTTCCTAAAATCTGGAAACAATGATAACTGGATATTTCATACTGTAGGACGTCAAAATAATTTCAACTTTTATCCCTCCTTTGACACACAGAAAACACAATGTTTGAGGAAAACTAGTTTCGTCTATTCGACCTTATCAATAACTGGCTATCACAACAGACATACACTTGGTAACAACTTAGTTATTTTATCAATKACATACTGTACAGTGTACACATAGAGCACATAATCACAGAAAATACAAGTTAATGCAAAATCTAATACCTCAAATAAAACAGTAATAACTTCAAGAATTAAATTCCAACAATCATGGTATCTGTACTTGAGGCCACTCTCTATGCATCTGTACATGACATAGAATATCATTAAATGGTTGACTGACAAATTGTGCAAAAAAATATTGAAGTCCATGTTTTAGCAGAGAAATATTATAGAGGTAAATCTTTTGTCTCCTTGTAAGTCTCATCTTTTCTTGTACATACATCTATATTCAACAAGGATATCTAAAGCATGTTACTTAGAATTGATAAATGCATCATTAAAATCATCAATCAATCAATCACAATTTAGAAGTACAATGTACATCGATATGCTCACGTATTTTCTTACTTGATTATCTTATGAGCCGAGGTATTTACACCTGCTCCACTTCTGGATACTTCTTCTTTTATCAAACCAATAGAGGGTTCAATACAACCTCTAAGAAGTTCCTAAAATATTAACAGAATAGTTGTAATAGCAAAAATGTACATAAAAAAATCACAAATAAAAGTAGAAAACCTAGTTACAAGTTGCGTGGCTTTTTCTTCAATTTATTCTATTTAAAAAATCACATGTATATGTATTGGACAGGCAAACAGCCTTTTCAGCTATAGTAGCAGGCCTTTCATCATATATGTGACTTGTGTAGGGCCATTCATATTATGCACAATACTTATTCATACACCTTACCTTCATAGAGTTTGCAGCAGAAACAGCGAGGTTTTTGTGTTCAGACAAGTAAAAAGACATCAGCGAAGAAAAACATCTTGGTAGATGTGCTGTACATAATTTATTGTCATTTCTGAAAACCAATGAATAGGTATAAACAAAGAGYGTCTGTAAAGCACACTTTAATTACCGTACATGTATGTCTGCCATTAAAACTACATGTAAACATATGTACCTTGATAAGTTAATATAGGCTTTCTCCATTGTCGATATCCAAGCCTGTGATAAATCCACATCACTGACATTTGGCTGATAGTCATATAAAGCCTGATAACAAAYAATAATAAAACACTGAATGATCATCAGTCATACGAAGAAAGAAAAAACAGAAAATGAAACTACATCACTTACATTGATAATCTGTGCATTTAAATCAACAGAGAGACTAGCTGTAGAAGGTGACGATGTGAACAACTTGAACATTACTTGGAGTGAATTCACTGTAACCATCTAAAAGTTAAAAAAAWATATAGTKAGTTGTTTAGCAATTMAAAATGTTTATAAAATAAGTGTAAWAWGTAAASAATATGCCTGTGAAGTTGGAYAGCCAWGAGCTGTAACTAAAARGTGCTAAACTATGCCCTAATTCCTAATTTCATGTTGTCCAATCTACACTATTGACATAATAGTTAAATAGGTACATGTACAGCATGCTTCTTGAATATTTCACAGAGCTAACATAATATTTTGAAAGCATATGACTTGCCTAAGTTAATTCTATAATTTATTTTCTTTTCATTAAATGACTTCACCTTTTTACAATTTGTAGATGAAACAATTTCAACACTCTACTCACCACATTTCCTAGTGTCATCAACTTTAACAAGTTCTCACAAACTGTCTTAACACTCTAGAGATGTAGAAACAAAATATAATTCACTAAAAAGAACGAGGAAAAAATGAGCAAGAAAGAGAGTGAAGATAATAGGAAAGGAAAGATTAGAATGGGAAGGGGAGAGAAGGACAAAGAAAAGATGGTTAAGAGGGACAGGGAGGGAAAAGAAGACAGCAAGGGAGGAAAGAAGGCAGTTAGAAATGGAAAGAGTTGAAAGAAACCAAACATAAGAAGGAAAAGCCTCAGAACATAATGTGAAGAAGAGGACATTGCAACAACAGGACATAGCAACAACAGGACATAGCAACAAGTGATAACATCATGTACAACAATATTGTAGGTGAAGGGAGGAGAGGGGAGGGAAGATAATGAATGTAGATATTAGACCCATTTTCAAACCCATTTGATATACCATTCACATATAATTATCATTAAATTTAACCTACAATAAATGCAGAAAGTTGTATACCTGGTAAGCAAACCTAGAAACCATACCTGGATTGGTAATAAGGAAATTATTTCTTTTAGTAGTCCAATAACATGAAGGGTTGTGGTGGACTGAGTTGAACCTGAAGCATTAATACAGTTACATAAGCATGTGTTGTTTAAAATATAACATTGGTATTAATAATACAATGAACTAAGTACATGTGCAAGAAATTGCTTTAAAAATACCCAACCAAAATACATACGCACTTTACCTCCATGTTGCTGTATTTGCTGGACACAAAACTTCGCTGTGGCACCAGCTGCAGGATGAAAGTCAAGGTCATTTGGTGGCTTCTTGAGTAGTGTCTCAACTGCATCTTGCGCACCTTTACGTATCTATATTGTAAATTTTAATCGTATGAGGAAGTAGCTGATCCCATTAAAGAGTGCTCAATACACATTTAGTGTAGAGCTAGTTAAATATATGATATATACATGATATCAAAGAGGCCTCTTTGATATCATACATATATATATATTGTAAATTTTATAAAGTTAAATGAGAAACAAGGATTAATGGGAAAAAGGGATGGGAAATGTTTAAAGCAATGGATGAATTAATCAATGGATTGATGAAAAGATAATTTGATGGATGGATGGATGATTGAGGTACAACTCTAGATATACTTTTGTATAAATCATTGAATTGAGAAAAGATTGCAGCTGTATACATGTAGTATATTCAAAGTACCATAGTTTTTCTACACTATTATCTAAATGTACATTATCATAATCAATTATAACTTGTATAATCTCATCTATCTATTTTAATAACCAACCTTGGGTTTGCTGTGAATTGTAAAGCTCAATAGTCCATGATAAATCTTCATTGTTGATGATTCTGACCAAACAGCACTTTCTTGAACTAAAAGAAGTCTGCTTAAGCAATACAACAGCTGAAAAAAAAATAAAAAAATAAGCATTAAATACATGTACTTTTATTTACAAATAAATAATGAGCAAAGTTATCTGTTCAGTCATGGCAAGGAAGTGATAGGAATAATAATATWAAAAAGTAATTACAAGTCAAGGTCAAGATATTTTATTCTCTTGTTAAATATCTAGTAAAATTTGAAAATGATTTTGTATAAATATTCAAAAAAAAGCAARCTGTACTGTCTTCATCAACAGCACCAATGCCTAAAACATACAGTGATGAATGCCAACATACAAGGTAWCAAATAGAGCAAACACAGGAAAACCATGAAATAAAATCAAACTAAATRCTAACTAATAGCGGCTATTTAGAGACAGTTTATCAGTATCAATGAACCAGAACACAATGAAGATGAATCCACATGRGACCATTTTTCATTCATCTTTATTGCRTTCTGGTTCATTGATACTRACAATTTGTTTGATTTTATTTTATGGTTTTCCGGMRTTTGCTCTACTGCATGCATTCACATTACTATACTCACCGATCTAAGTAGAGATGTCCCTCCATCACCAGCATAACCAGCTAGAGCTGTCAGCAATATCTGAGAAGCTTTAGAGAACTTGGTTTTTAAGATAGACTCAGGAACACTACAAATAAAGATATAATCTAATTGTCTACATGTACTTCAATTTAATTCTTTCATGTGCATTTTTAGGTGTGATAGATATTTTTACCTTTTAATGACKAGAGTTAACAGATATGTGATGGCTGTCATGGATTCCTCGTTATCTGATGATTCAAGAGCTGTCATCTGAAATTGTGTACGTACATAACATTTTACACATGTAAATAAAAGTATTTCATGTGGACAGTTCAACTTTACAGAAGCTGATACATGTACATGTATGCTGCCACTGAGATATATAATATCTGAGATATTAATGACTCAAATTATCCAGTAATCTTTTCAATATAAAATTTTGTGTGTCATCTACATGTAAAGTCCTGTTTATACTTGCGATTTTTGCAGAGCAACAATCGTCACTTTGTTCTCGCGCACCTCAAATCATACGTGTAAACAGCCCTGCAATTGTTGCAGCGATCGAAAATCACAGCGAGTTGCAGCTTAATGTCAAGCATGTTTGAAACTCAGGTGATTGTCGCATGACAAACAGAAGTGTAAGAAGCTCTTAAGAGCTGACCAAATCCTCAGTTACTTCAAACTTTATACAACTGGATACATTGCAACTGCCCTCCTTACATTGCACCTCACATGTGGAGCCCCTGGCCTCTTCTATTCTCTCAAAATAGTTTATAAAAGTATATGTATTATCTACTGACAAAAAGGTCATATCAGTATTTATCATATGACCCGTATTTCGGCSCTACGCGCGCTCTCACTGAAACCTTTGGAAAACGGTCACGTGATGGGGTCCGTACGCCTTTTTGCGACAGGTCCGTACAAACCCGTATTTTCCCGGCTTGAAGCTCTGCGCGCTTTTATTTATTTTTTTACATTAAAAAACGCTGTCATATGATAAAATGCTTATTGACTGAGTTAGGTTGCGCCGTACGGCCCTCCCACTCAGTCAATAAGTACATGGTATGTACTTACAAGAGCTGCAAAATATTCAGTCTCTGTCTCCTTCCCTCCTTCAGATTTAATCACCTGGCAAACAAAATAATAAATCAGACACACATATAGCCAAGGATCATTTATAATTTTCACTTACTTCTGTTACTGCCGCAAGTACAGCACAAACCTAAAAAGTAAGAAAARAGAGAATCAACTTGACAAATGCTTGACAAATTCAAAAGGAAAATCCATTTATCTCCTTCTATAAGTGAGTTTTAACATAACATTTAACCAAATAATCAAATCAATCGTATATTACGAAAATACCTCTTTCTGATGAGAAGACTGTGCATTCCAAAATCGTTTCACATTGTCGAAAACTGGATTTGAGCAATCGGTCAAACCACCCACACTAAACAACCCAGCACTCTTCATACTCATCCCCTCGTCTCCATCACTGTCTACAGGAGAATCATGAGAGGCGTTGTGCTTCTCTAATGCTTGCGTGGTCAAATTAGACGAAGAAGGTCCAACTTGTTGTCCTGTGATCATTCCTCGTCGCATTTTTGACCGATGTACATTTGTTTTGGGGTTGGATTCGCAGCTGTGTCCCTTCCTCCATTGCTTTCCCTTAGCCTTTCTCATTCGGACCATTTTGGATCGATTCTAAACTGTATAAGATGAATCAAATACGAATAGGTTTTCTTTGTAMATCCTCACGTGGAGTCCGCCATGTTGTTATTGCTTCAACATGAATCAGCGAYGCTATAGTTCAGCGGATAACAATAAAACACAGGTATCCCATTCATTTGCGTACGTCACGTATTGCGTAAAGAAAGAAAGAATACCGCTTTGAAACCATTTATTTACAATCGTTTCTAGTAATATCTATTATTTCTTTAGGCAAAATCGTCMGTTCTAATACATATGCATTGTCTTTGAATACGACAGCYCTTACGACAGGCAAGAGACGAGATACGATCACGTGACGAGTGATCCTTGAAGGACTCGAGCAGTATTTGCGTAGCACTTGAAGATGGCCCTCGTTGTTTTTTGARTTCTCAATAAAGATCAAGCACAAATGATAACTACTTTACCTGTAATTCACTTTATAAAATGTTAAAACATGCCTTTTTTAGAAATATATTGTTYGCAGACCAGCTGACCTCGTTTTAATGTGCGCGCCGCGCGGATATGAGGGAAATATCGAGAGAGGTCTATTTACATTTCTCAATTAAGCCTCCATGATATGTACATGAATAGTGAATGCATATATGGTCAACATATATCAGTGCATCAAAGTGTTGTAACGGATTTCCTTCTCCCAGCCTTTCTCATCCATCCCTCCTTCATGCGAATAAGAGAGGAAGTTGTAGCTAACATATTAGGAGTCCGTGGACGAGATGGTTCTGATTTTTCACCACTCTGTAAGTACTTCTTCAAACAACTATAAACCATTTCGCTCACTTCTTTATAACCATCACACTCAGATACCGAGATTTCGTAAAAAGGACAGTCGAGCTCTTGTGCGAGCTCGCTGCCCTCAGTCTCGTCAACTTGTCGTATATGTTCCAAGTCCTTCTTATTTCCAATGAGGATTAAACGATGGTCTATGAGTTTGTGAGTCTTTATGTACCGTCCAATGCGAGCTGCTTCATCAAACGATGCGTGATCTTCGATGGAGTACAGAACTAAAAACATGTCTCCGCTTGTTATGCAGCGCTCGATTTTCGTGGAGTTATTCTTTGAATACAAAAAATAATGTTAGCATTTTGTCTGCGTATGAGACGTATTGAATAACGGAGAGAATAAAATACTGTATGTTAATTCCCCTGCCTTTACGTTTTGCAAATCCATACATTGACAACGCTATCGTCATTTGCATGGTGCTTATGTTGTTCATTGTGTTACAGACAGTACTTAAGAAACTACCGACAGAACTAACATTGTCGGATTTTTCCTAGAAGCAACGGGGAGTTCTAAGCCTTATAAAAACAGCAAATAGAAAGAATGTTTGATCTTGGCCTTTTAACTCGTTCATTCAAAGCCTCAGGCACGCGGCCCTCTGAATGACTTCAAATTGGTTTTTAAACTGTTTTTAAAAGGTGCAGAATTCATAGACACAACGCTGGGTGAAGCTCTCGTGTACAGATGGTTCAAGACCGAAGGCATTGAGTGGTCCTCTTCCCTGATGACGTTGTGTGATGTGGTCGGCGAAATGCATCATGGGTCTACAAATGGCGGCCATGTTGTTTTGTTTCCGGAGACTTTTTTTGCTACAGCAAACATATTTTCCAAATAGCTAGGAACTTCAGGCAATCAGGGATGTTATCTAATGCTATTCAAAGGCATTTTAGACCACGGATAACACTCATTCTTATGTAAAAATGAACCTTTGTTAAGCAGCGTTTACACGAGCRATTTTTCCTTGACAAGGAAAAATTGCTCGAGTAAATCAGGTGGGGTAAAATGGAAAATTTTCATTGTCAAGGAAAAGCCAACATGTTCGCTTTTCCTTGACAAGGAAAAATTGTCAAGGACGAAATTTGCTCGTGTAAATGGACAACAAGGAAAATGTGGCAAAGAAAAATTGTCAAGGAAAACTTGTTGACCATTCACACGGGCAATTTTTCCTTGTCAAGGAAATCTTGTTTTTCGTTTACACTAGCAAAGAAACATTGTCAAGGAAGAATTGCTCGTGTAAACGGTGCTTTAAAAGGTCCTGGGAGAGAGTTATTTTAAAATAAAAAATATTTTGTTACTGCAAGCACTTTTGGATTAATCCTTTTTTTTTCAATTCTGAGAAAGCTATGCCTAAGAGTGACACGATGGGCTTATAAGAGTAAAGAAACCGTATAAAACCACGCGGAAGCACTAAAGCTCTCTAAGAGACGGTTGAAGACCGTTTTTCAATCGTCATAAAATTTCCTCAATTTCACATTTCATATTTTTGGATCGATTATCGTTTGCTTCCTTACAGCGTAAAGAAAAAAAGACATTGTCTAAAACTTGAATTTTATTTTCATTTTCGAGTGTCTTCAGCATGAAGGAAATTAAACAAACGAAGCCAAGGTGTTCTGGGTTTTTTGGTGTGTGTGTGTGTGTGTGCGCGTCCTTGGCCTGAAACGTGCAGATTAACCTTGTGAATTTTAAGTCCACTCAAGACATTTAAGACAAAGGTTTATAAACATGTTTGGCTGGTAAAACTTTCAATGATGCAGTTGGCAAATGAAACTTTAACCGAAAATCCTGGCGTCAGTTGATGTCAGATATTTCCTTGACTTGTTATTTTTACTTCAGCAGCCTCTCCCTTTTTCCTGTCAACCTAAAGTTCCATAAAGCACTCCTGGTGCGCTAGGGACACTCATTCAACCCATAGGAATTCCTAAAGTCAGGATCTCTTAAGGTAAGACATGGCTTCATATATTATTGATTTATTATTATTATTATCATTATTATTATCAAGATCTCTTTTGGGCAAGGATTAATGAAGTATCTTAATTTGTATTGCTTTCAATAGATGAAGGGCTACTTTATTTCATGTATTGCGCTGTTGGTGATATGTGGAACTGTTACAACTGATGGTCGAACCCACCCCACTAAGGACGTCTCAGGAGAAAAAGAGCCAGTCGAAGTTGATGAAGGTAGCTACATAAACCTCTTGCTTTAAAAAATGATCGAGATTTCTTTCTTTTTCGTCACTAGTTTTGCTTTTGATTCAAAAATTTGGATTGGTCTTTTTAAAAATCGTCTGAATCGGTGTTCATGCTTTACAGATTACCAACTTTACCCACGGAAGGAAGTCACTCAAGAGAAAGAGCTAGAAACTTACCCAATGGTGCGGATTCCTCGTAAAGCGGATCCAGTCGATGTCAAAAGTATGTACATGCAAAATAACGCACGCATTCACGGATCTAGTTCCGTCTGCTTTAATCATGCTTTATACCAACCAGAAATTGATTTTACTTTCAGAGAATATAACAAAAGCTAAAAAGGGCGTGGTAGGCACTGCTATCGCGGCTGCTACATTTGTCATCGGTACCCTTAAGTCTATCCTGAAATCAATAGGAAATGTTAAATCCAAAATCGCTATCGGTGTTGACAACGAGTCGGGGTGCACCTGGATTGCCAAAGGTACAGACTTGGTAAATGGTGCTTCGGACAAACTACTGCCCTATAAAGTTAAGAATGCCACAACACTGATATACGCCGCTCAAAACGAAGGCACCTCCTCTAGGGTTGAAGGAGTGCTCACTTATCGCTTGTGCAATTCTTGGAAAACTCTGGCGATTCTTTTCAGTGTTTCGGGCAATCAACGATTGCGAAAAAAATTCCGGCCGCCTTTTAGGTATTATCACAAAAGAAAAGAATACAAAAGCTGGTGGAATGTAAAAATCTATTATGGAATACATCATCCTAGTAAATCCATGTACAACGATCTTTACTCTGACCACACCAGTCCGTTCCGTGGCAATAACCACTGGTATCATAGAAATTTGGGACACGGTCTTAAAATGAAAGGATATATGACGAATTCCAAGCAGGCAATCCTGTATATACACATATCAAAGGCCTAGCTCATGTACCTATAAACTTCCTTAAAAGAGCACCKCCATAATTGACGACATATCTTAACTTTCCTATTTTTATCTCATAGTTCGCCCCTGCGGCTGTTTTTAGTCGTTCACCGTCTCATGATTTTGTAAGAGCGGCAAAAAACTGATGCAGGAGCGACTACACAAAGTCTGTTTATTTGAAATACTTGCAAAGCCCACCAACTATGGAGGAGTCCCCCCCCCCCCCCCCCCCCCCCCCYCCCTCCCCCCAGGACCACCCATCAATACTTCCTATTACTAAATCATGCCGGAGCTCTTTTGAGGTTAAATTTGAACGACACAAATCAAGCAAGTTCATATACAACTATATTAATAATTGTTTAAATCGATATAAATAAACGCTTATATATCAGTTTTAAGATAAAATCACATGAACCCTTACCGTTTTAACAGGAGGGAAGCAAGTCTGAATATAAATAGATGACTCCAATATTGATTTCAATGATGAATAGATTGAAAAACCTCGATATATAAATATTCCTTTCAAAAAGGATGTCAAACAAGGTTATAGTCGAAGAGAATACTACACGACCCGAAATAGCATTACGCATTGCATTGTGGTCTAGATTGGGTACAAATATCTGTTATCTTRCCCTGAAGTTAGAATAAATATTTTAGTGTGATTGTGAATAAAAATCCGAATAGGCCAATCATCTCTGCTGCTTTGTAATCAATGTTGAGTGCTGCAATGTTTGTATTGAGATTTTTCTCTTTTTTTCCTACTTTTTAAATATAAGGAAGAATTAATAATGGAACGTGTAAAACTCTAGACTAAATGGATGGATAATAAAATGCAGAGGAAAACAACTCTACTTGTACTTGCATAATGGTTAGCTCCTTTATTTGCAAACTTTTCCATGTTGAATCAGTGGGATTAGATCAGCCGTTATACCATAAGGTCATACCTAGCTTATTACGTGGGCTTCCTGTGTAAGCTCACGTCTAAAAATGCGTCTTTTCTTTGTCGTCGACGTCGTCGTGAATATTACGCTTCAAATTGTAGCGCGAATGACGAGGATACCGGACCGAAAATAAAATAACTTTCAATATATATTTATCTTCACAGTATGTCAGAATACCGACTTTTTTGAAGCCTTCATTCAATTTCAATTTTATTAACGATACACAAACATGAATACATTTGCGCTCTTTCAAAATAAAGATTCCTGACACATCTAAAGATGGAATCTGAACCAATACGCAAGTGAAATAATTGGATGTCTTTTCCCTTTATAAGCTTTACGTTGCTTCAAAATAAAAACCATGATACAGCTAAAAATGTTTAAAATAATACAAGTGAAATACGGTTGTCATCTTATATGCACTGAAAATATATAGTGTAAGTTATCTAGCAGTAGATGAAATAAACTAAATGAAAATGAAATTTTTAAGAAGAAAAATAAAACGCTGATTCCGATAATTTCATGAATCCATCTAAATAACAATATCTTTGGTTTTGGTCAGGCGAAGGGATWAAGGTTGAGGTCCTGGGATTGAGTTTGATTTGGTTGGCTTAGTTAAAACTTTTTCTAACTTTTGAAATTAAAAAAATATATATTTGSTCATAAGTACTTTTGAATTAAGCGGCGTTTACAAGAGCAATTTTTCCTTGACAAGGAAAAATTGCTCGTGTAAATGGGGTAAAATGGACAATTTTTCCTTGAATGTCAAGGAAAAGCCAACATGTTCGCTTTTCCTTGACAAGGAAAAAATGTCAAGGACGAAATTTGCTCGTTTAAATGGACAACAAGGAAAATGTGGCAAGGAACTAAAATTGTCAAGGAAAAATTTCTCTTCGTTTACACTAGCAAAGAAACATTGTCAAGGAAGAATTGTCGAGGAAAAAACTTGTTGACCATTTACACGGGCATTTTTTCCTTGTCAAGAAACTTGTCAAGGAAAAACTGCTCGTGTAAACGGCGCTTTAAGCTTTTACATCCGCCATTTTGATATTTTCATCAAGGCCATGATGCAATTCGCCAAAACAACATGACGTCATAAGGGATCGAAACCATTGTTGGTGATTAAATTGAGACTTGATGAGGCGCTTCAAAGAGTTATCAGTAACAATAATAATTCAAGATATATGTTGTTATTGTACCTCTCCAGCAGTATCCATTAAATCGATGTAAATGAACTCGTTGTCGATCTGCAGATGATGTCGATAAGTTGATTCTGTCAGTAATTGAATGATAAAACATACGGTTATCAGTAAAATCAACATTTATAATCATCATAATTTTTTTTTATTTATCAGCTAGCATCTGTGATAAATTTACAAAAAGAATAATAAATAGTTTGTTTTTAGTATTTTTTCATTTTTATTTTTCTCTAATTTAAATGTCAAACCTCAAATATACTGAATTCAATTTAAATAATTATCGTATCTTTTGAAGCTCTATTGGTGAGGTTAAAGTTGCACGGGAAAGAAAAACTGAATGGCGGCCATCTTGAATTCGGTGGTTGTAATCAGTCAACGACGTAATGTAGTCATGTCCAATTACCCATCAATAAAGCATGCTATCTTCATATGTTTGTTTTGATTTATCTTGAAGTTTATCATCACTACCAATTCTTTTACAAATAGTTTGAAATGATGGCAGTTTTATCGTTTTAATGTGATTCATATCGGTTCAATTATCACATTATGGTCAATCAATTATGGTAATATACTCTATAGATAACGATAAATATCTATAMTATAGTGTACCTAAAGTCTTGTCGTACTCGTGGATGTACCGTCTGGTGAGATATCGTACGATGAGAGCTATAAACAACAATTGCAGTTAGAATCGATTGAGCGTTTGCGCGCGTCTAATTAGTGGTCCAAGATTTCGCTATATTTCACCGGGTAAACTCTTGTTCGAGAGAAGTCCTCAAAACCGATTAAAAGATGGACTGCCTGTGTCAAAAATTCCGTCAACCATGTGTCTGTTTTGGCGGGAGCAAGGGAAAAAAAACAGCGAAAAAAAAAACAGCAACAAGTATGTCTGCTATTAAAGAATCCCCTTTGTCAAAAAGCCCAAGGCAAAACACTATAAGTAAAAACAGATGGGGATCATAAAGGGTTTCAAAGAGGTCCAGAAAACACCCTTAGGCCTCCGAAAGTTGCCTAAAAGCTGGGGCCATCGCTGCAGAAGAAGTCGGCTTCCACTGGGTTWCAAACTCACCAGTTTTTCCAACTCCGTCCTGTCCCATCACCATTACTCTAATGCTCTTCAAATTCGCTTGTTGACTGTTCTTCCTTCTTCTCATTTTATAGTGGTGCAAAGCCGGCTAGCTAATCTAAMGACAATAAACAGCACAGCAATGAGTATATTGAGCACTTTATATGAAACACCGGCAGAAACTGCATTACAATACCACAATAACTAAACATGCTTAACCGACTTAATCACTCAAAATGGGAAAATTAATTCGCTTTCAACATCCTTATAAAATTGTCTTTTTTTAACCCTTGGAAGTCGAGCGAATATCCATCCGTATCACAAAGTACCATACAAGTATTGGAAACTAAGTSGAAGCGGAAAACTCGTACTTGAAACTCACAGTAAATAACTATCGCGGTTAAAACCTTGATAAGACGATACTTACTTCAACAAGGGAACTGCTGAGATGCTTTCTATAAAGGTAAATGAGAAATATTATTGGTGAAGAGCGAGTCAGTAGTGAACGTGGACTATTTGAGCAGTGACCGTCGTTCTACATGCAGGGAACACGCATTCGCCGGTCAGACAGCCATTTATATATAGATTATATCGTATACCTCGGGGTTATCTAGACAGCCATYTTAAATTTCCCATTCAAGGCATATATAGACATAACGAGGCTATTTTAATAGTGTGATCTAAGGCCAAACGGAAATTTCAGATGAAGCAGAGAATACCATCGAGTAAGCTTATGCTGACATTGACCTTTTATAAGCAAATAATTTATTATGATAAGAAAATTCAATCTTTTTGAGCTGGTTGAAGAATTTACGATGTCCAGAACATGTAGTTTTTTTTACAAAAAGCGCTGTTTTAATGTCGCGAGCTTACATTGATGTCATCACTGAAAACAGCGTTGGTTTTCAAGAGAAAATCTATTATTGAGGGGTCTCAATTGTAAAAAAAAGCTGTATTGGACAACTTATGTTTATGCCTATCCATTGTAAAGCATTATTGACGGAAACCTGTGCAGAACAAGTGTTTTAGCATTTGCCGTRTCATCCCGGGTAGCTTGCAACCCTTTGCTACCATCATCAGTCTATAGCCGTTACCATAACGCGATTTTGCCACGTGTATATGGATAAAACTAATATTTAAACTATTCCTCGAGGCTTCCTTTAAAATGTTCGCTTTGTAAAACATTTAATGTCCAATAATTATGTATATCAATGCATTTAACAATATATGATATTTACCCAYAAAGTTATTTGGTATTTTGCGCCAATCCGGAAGCGTTCAATCAAATAATGTGCGAATGAACATTTGCTTGGATTGCAATCGTTTTCGACGTCRTCACTCATTCAGTACTAAGTACTTGGTAGCGATAAAGGCCTTGTATTTATTATCTTTCAAGTGCTATTCGTCATATCTCTTCAATAATAGTAGCTCGTTGACCTTTGCGTTTCTGGAATTCCCTTTACGTCAAAAAATACGCAGCAAAAAAGCCCGGCTTTTTGCGGCGTTATGCTTGTAAGAATAAATTGGTTGTAGTTGCAGAAAAACGCAAAATTCAGGATAAACTTAAATGATATAATCAAACTACTTGCGCGGTGGAAATACGAGATATTTTTTTACAAAAGCTTAAGAAAGCTTGAAATGTCACTAACGCCTCGTATTRTTTATGCAARACTTTGTCTATATGATGAGTTTACGTTTCGTTTCGTAGTCCTCATAGGAATTGAGAACAATGATGCAAAACGAGACGAACGCATCACGTGGAGGCGACTCAGTGCGTCTTCGTATGACGCCAAACAACTGTGATTTTTGAACTTCTGTTATAAAGCTACTGTAGATTCTAGTAGCATAYAGTACAGCATAGAATGCAGCCTGCAGCTAGTRCGCTWGTCAAATAAAATAGAAGTGTGGCTACCTAACGGTGTTGGATTGGGTCTGGTGTAAAACTGAAGTACTTACCCTCAAACGTACTTGTATAAACAACACTGAATAAAGTGACTATAAAAACCCTCTTTTAACAGAAATATTTCCTCCGTAAACTCCAACAGATGAAAGAGTTGACCTTCAAAAAATGAAGCTTTTTAAACTGGCTTCTTAAAGCAAATATGCAAGATTACAGAGCTCGATTTTGCGACCAGCTTGTGCATAGCCCCATGTAGAGGACAAAATACTTCGCTGTGGAATGCAAGCTTGTTCTAATTATGTCTATTAACGAAATGACAAAAGCATTCACAGACGGGACATTTATAGCATTCCCGGTAGAATCCAGGATGACAAATGACTCAATGAGTATAATTGGATTGGTATGCTTACTTAAAAACAATAGAAMCTCGATTATACCGATACTATCCGGGCAAATCCGGGCAAACGAGCCTACGATGAAAGTAAAAACAACTGAATCTCGTATATACGGCCAACGAAGCTGATAGGCGATGATTATAAGACAAACGAACGTATATATGGACAGTAACTAGGGCATCCGAATCTAATAGAGTCAATTTCGTATGATTGGGAAACGAACGGTACTGTACTGTAACTGCAATCGTACTGTAACCAAATTCTAGTGTCTCATTGCTTCACAAAATCTGTGCAGCCCACTGGGTCCGGTAACTGTTCGGTAACCGTGCGGTAATTTCTAACGTACGTTTCCCACTCATACGAAATTGACTCTATAATGACGTCAGTAAAAACAACCGGACCTCAATTATACGGACACTATAACCGGACAAAACGAAGCTGTTAACGTCACGTGATGGTTCAAAACAATCAAATACAATCCGTGTACTTGCCAGAAACGACAACAAAAGCTAAGCAATTATTGATGATGAAGATGACTTTTAATCTTATGATAACGATAAATCTAATATTCCAATAAATATATAATATACCAATACTAATAATCATAATGTATGTATCAAGTGTAAATGAAATTGGAAGTTTCGTGCTAGAGTGAAATTGTTTTTCGATATAAAAAAGATTATTAAATTGGAAGGAATGACTAAGTCATAAAATGGACTCCGATAATGAAAAGCATAGTACTCGAGGCTTACAGTAGGGTCATCTTGATCTGCAATCCTTTAAGCTTCTTTCATCGATCTCATCATAGGATATGACACACACCAATTATAAATCACAATTGTACATAAATATAGACTACCTTATTTGGAAAAGAGTCACTCGAAGGGCAGCTTATTTAGAACCCAAGGGCAGATTATAAGTAGGGACAAGGGAAGAATAATGTTATAAGTACGTAGTTTTCGGTTCATTTAATTTCTTTCGCTCGTTTAATTTTCATTCATTTTAGTCATTTACTTATGCATTCATTCATTCATTCATTCGTTAGGATCTAAAACACAACATGGAACAAAAAGAGACGAAGTATAAGAACACTATAAAACTTTGATCATAGGTCATTTTAATACGAAACTTCRCTGACTAATCGTAACACACAAACAACACTAAATGCCCGTTTACTCTTGCGATTTTTTAAGCGCGATTCTAAGGACGATTGTCGCGCGACCATCGCCTGAGTTTCGAACATGCTTGAGAATTGGCTGCAACTTGRAGGGGATTTTGCATCRTCGCAACAATCGCAGGGCTGTTTGTTTACACGTACGATTTCAGTTGCGCTATAGCAAAGTGGCGATTATCGCGCTGCAAAAATCGTAAGTGTAAACGGGCCTTAATGGAGACTTTATCTATCATCAGGATCATCGCCTTCAAAGTCGACTTCATCTTCGTTCTCCGAGGTCTCGTCGTTTTTCTTAGCTATGAAAAGTGAAAAAAGCATCAAATCACTATAGAGATTTAGCTTCCGCTGCGCAGACTTTATGTCGGTCACGCCCGCGCGTGAGGAAAGCGCGCGACTGATATCAATAGCAAGGTAGTGGAACAATATAAACCTACCGACAGTTTTAGGAGTTTCTTGTTTGGTTTTCTGTGGATTGCCACTTCCTTCTTTGATATTCTGTGAGTTATCGTCATCTTCATCATCATCGTCATCATCTTCTTCTTCTTCTGTATCTGTGTCCTCGTGAATCAATTTTAATGGTTCCACAACTTGGCGCTTGTCTGCAGAGAGATCTTTTCTCTCAGCTTTTTTAGTTAATTTAAGTTTCTTTTCTTGTGTGTTGTGAGTTGTTTTGGCATCGTTTGTTGTTTTTTTATTCGCAGCATTGTTCTGTTTAGTTGTGTTGTCTTTAGTTTCTTCATTTTTATCTTTTTTTGTCTCCTTTTTAAAATCTTTTATGTCGTCTTTCGCGTCGTCGTTGGTTTCTTGTAAGTCATCACTTCCGATATCGTCCTGTATACCTTCTTTGTCCTCTTCTTGTCCATCGTCTTTGCTTTCATTGGTGACATCTTTCTGTTCGACAGCTACTGTCTTCTTCTGTTCACCGCTGGTCTTTTCGTTTTCGTCATCTTTACTTCGCTCTTTAGTGACGGCTGGTTTTGTTTTGGCCTGTTTTTCATTTTTATTTTGCTGCTCGATGACATCTTTTTCAACATCACTTGTTTGCTTCTTCACATCATTGCTTTCCTTCTTGCCTTTACTTTCTACTTTGGTCGCAGTTTTTTGTTCAACGTGTGCTTCTTTCTTGTCATCGTTGCTTTCTTTTTCGTCTTCGTTGTTTTCATTTTGTGTATCATYATTTATATCTTCTTCCTTTGCGTCGTCGCTTTGTGTACTTTTCTTGTCGATTGTTTCGTCCTTCTTTGGTTTATCGCTGCCTTTCTTGTCATCATTATCATCGTCATCATCAGCCCTTCTTTGGTTTATCGCTGCCTTTCTTGT